TATGTTCATTCAAAATGATCTAAAATTTAACGTGATAAAAAATGAATTGATTGATAAAAGTCACATTATAATTATCAATCTAATTGATTACAATTTAAAAATCGCTGGTTTTTATCGCTCCCCTTCCGACAAAACTGAACAATTTCTAGACTATATAGAAAATACTCTTGACAAACTAGATAATTTATTATGTCTGGGCGATGCCAATATTAATTTACTAAAACCTAATGATAAATATACTCAAAGCTATATTAATATATTGAATTCTAATAATTATAAAATTCTGAATATCATTGACAATGATTATTTCACTTACAGTGAAGAAAAAAATGGTAAAAGTCATAAAAGTATAATTGATCATATTTTTGCTGATAGATTTAATTCGGAAAATGAATATAAATTTGATGTCAAAGAAACTACGTTCTCTGATCATAGATTTTTAATCTGTGACCTTAAAATTAATTTGGAAACTGAAACTAAAGTTGTTCAAAGCAAAAAAATTGATTATAATAATATTATCGGAAATCTAAATTCATTTGAATACACCCATCATGATTTTGACGATTTCATGAAAATGTTCTCACATTTGGTTGAAAATAGCATGAGTTTGAAAGACCACAAAATATTTCCAAATTCAAAAAAGCCTTGGTTAGATAAAAATCTCAAACATGAATTGAAGAAAAGGAAAGAAATGTTTATTTTGAAGAAAAAGTTTCCGCTAAATGAGAGAGTAAAAAGAGATTTTAACAAACAGAAAAAAAAAGTGAATCTTGAAATCTTAAACAATAGAAGAAAATTCTATGATGATAAATTCGAAGAGTCGGTTGATAACCCAAAGAAATTTTGGAATAATATTAATTCACTTATTTATAATAAGTCAGAAACTAAAAATGATGGTATTGATATAAAAAATGGCTTGGGCGAATCACTAAATGAATCTGACACGGTGAATGCTTTCAATGACTATTTTATTAACCTGCCACAGATGACAATTGAAAATGCTTATGGTGATATAAGCAATTTAAAAACAAAAACAAAACCAACCAGTAACTATTCTGTATGCAATTCCATGTTTATAAATCCGGTCTCTAGTGAAGAAATTCATGAAATAATTTCAAATCTGAAGAATAGTTTTTCAACGGGTTTTGATGGTTTACCAACAAATTTATATAAAATCTGCATTGAACCACTTGGCAATATTCTAACCCACTATATTAATGGTATTATTGATACTGGTCACTTTCCCAACAGACTAAAAATAGCTAAAATCATACCAGTTTACAAGAAATCGGGTCATAAATCTGATATCAAAAATTATAGACCAATTTCACTCTTGGACATTGTTTCTAAAATCGTCGAAGCTGCTCTATATAATCGATTATATAGTTTTCTTGAATCACATAAATTTTTCGATAGCAATCAATTTGGTTTTACAAAAAAATCAAACACTACTTCAGCATGCATGTCTTTTATCGACAAAATTCAAAGGGGACTGAATGAAAAAAAAGTCGTTTGCACCTTATTTCTCGATGTTGCAAAAGCATTTGATTGCGTTGATCGTAATTTATTACTATTTAAATTAGAGCAACTTGGAATAAGGGGTGAATCTTTGAAAATGTTTGAAAGTTACATTAATGACAGAAAACAGTTTGTTCAAATTAAAGAATCCAAAAGCAACATTAATTCAACAAATTTTGGGGTGGCTCAGGGTTCTAAATTGGGTCCACTATTGTTTTTGGTCTTTATGAATGATTTTTTAAAAGTTAAATTAAATGGCCAACTTCAACTCTATGCGGACGACTCATCCATAACATACACTGCTAAAAATCATACGGAACTCTTTAACATGATCAATGAAGATCTACCCAAAATCTCTGACTGGTTCAAAAATAATCTTCTGGTTTTACATGCAAATAAATCTAAATTATTATACTACAATTCGAATAATGATAATGGGATTTCTGACATTTTTCTTAATGATTGCAAAATTGAACAAGTGAAAGAAACAAAGTATTTGGGATTATTGATTGACTCCAATTTAAACTGGAATTCTCATGTTGAAATACTAATAAAAAAAATAAGACCGTATGTAGGTGTATTCAGAAGAATTTCTTTTTTATGTAGTGATAAAGTTAAAAAAATGATGTATTATGCATATTTTAACTCAAATTTAATATACCTACTATCTATCTGGAGTGGCACAAAAAATGAAAATATTGAAAAACTAGTAAAGTTACAAAATAAATGCCTTAGGAATTTATTTTATAATAAATATAGGGTTGGAAATATAAGTACAGATGATCTATACAAAGAACATGCCATCATTAAATTTAGAAACATGATTGATCTCGATTTACAAATTAATTTCCATAAGTTAATCAATAATTTATTAAAAGCAGACATTAAAATAGACTATAATAACAAACACCATGATCATGAAACACGACAAGCTAAAAATTTGCGTAAAATTAAACCCAAAAACAACTGGGGTAAATTATCTATTATTAATAGGGGAAGCAATGCATACAATTCCATACCCTCTCCAATAAAAAAGTTTGGTAAAGTCCATACTTTTAAAATTCATTTAAAAAAAATTATTCTTGAAAACCAAATCGTACATTATAAGAAAAGTAACATAAAAAAAAAGAAAAGATAAATTTATTTACAAAAAGTAGTAGGGCACATATAAGCACTAATTTAAATATGAATTACCAAAATTTTATTTACTTTGTTAAAAAAAAAAAAAGAGATATTATTAGTTTTAAGGGCGTTCATGTATTTACACATTTGCCTGAATAAATAAATAAATAAATAAATAAATTTCATACATTATAATTATAATTCATCGAGTCATTTTGATTTCAACAGTGCAAATGATCAGAGTTAATTTAAATGAAAATCAACAAACAAAATGAAGCCAAAATCCAGATTGGCTGATTGAAAAGAAAAAAACGAAATCAACAATTTACGTAAATATGAAATTTACATAAAAGTAAGCAAACAAATATCTTCAATATAACGCAATGCAGCGCCTTGCAATCGATAGACTTAATCCCAGTTCCAGTCATTCATGTGTAATATCAACAGATCTTCGAAGAATTGAGCTGTCATTCGGCCTCGTTGCTCCGTTAGTATCATGCCTGCAATGAAATGGAGAGAAGAAGAGAAAATTAATGTTTCCATTCGAAGAAAAAACGGATGCACAGCATTCCCAAACCTGACACTGAGTTGAGTTAAAATGTTGACATATGACAACTGGGGTCCGAACCAAGAGAGACAAGGTTTGGTTGATTTTCATTTCCATTTTCCTATATGAATCCAAACACCACACCCCGAATAAAAAACACCAGAAACCTAAACCAAACCGAACCAATAAAATTCACAATTTGCACAATCAATATAGACAAAACACATTGGACAATGGACAATGGACAAAAAATGTTCAAAATAGAATGCAATACTCACCGGCATAACTAAACAATCGTTCACAAATGGCTTCTGTCGATCTGATGCAATTGTACTTGAGAAAAATGCGCCGAAGGATAGGATATTTTTGCAGTCCATTTTCGATGTTTTCGGTTTTTGAACACAAATAACTATTGATTTCCATCATCAAAGTTGTATCAAAATCGAGCGATGCACCCATCGTGTCCGAAACGTCATGTTCAATCAGCAACGAATCGGTAGTGTCTGGATTTTGATTTGGATTCGCTACAAGAGAGAACAACAATCGAACGAAATTAAAAACCACGAATAATAACAATGAATGTTTGGCTATATCTGTTTTACCTCTGCTTCTGCTACTACCGTTGGTAGCGCTTGTGCTCGCTGTTGCAATGTCGTTGTTGTTGCTGCTGCTTTGATTTAAATTTTCAGCGGCTTCAGCAGCTTCAGCTCGCTTTTGTTTCTCTTGTTGTTCTTGTTGGATCACTTTACCAGCCGCCAACAACATATTTCGCACCCTTTGTGAAATGTGGCTCGGAACTTCTCTGAATCCCAGGAAATTCAGCTTAAACTGTGGATTTGTCACCATTGCTATATAAAGTGGGGTGGACGTTCCTTGAGAATCGTATATATCCAAATGGTGAGCGAAACGGGACTCGAATCCACGTTCAAGCGCATTGATTAGCGGTTCGCCGTGCATCATATTTTTGTTTTTCAACATGTTGAATTTCAAACGGAGCCCAGTTAAGATTGGCAGATACAGTGCAAAAGTGAATCGGTTCGCTTCCAGTTTCTTTAGTGCGTGTGCAATGGGCGAAATGCATTCGTAATATTCCTCCAAAAATACGTAATCATCTTCATCGATTTGTGGAATATGCAACTGCATGCAGGCTCGATTCAGTTTGTCTCTTCCAATCGACAAAATGTGTCCCACCTACAAAACACAAAACGAGCAAAAAATAGAAGGGAAAACAAGATTTTGCTTTGAAAAAAGTGTCATTTTGTCTTAATTTCGAAGCAAAGCAGAAGTATAAGAAAAAACTCACCGCATCGAATGTTTTCATCCAACGTATTCTGTGCGGTCCAATCAATTTGCGGCCAGTGATTCGCGTGAATATTTCAGAATTCAAACGTGATTTCTTCTGATCCCAAATTTGCTCGAGTATGGCAAACACACGGTCATAAACTCGAGCATAAACCGGATCATCTCTTGCGTTAAGCGCATCAATCTTGCCGATTTTGTCCAACTTGTGACTTGAACAGGCGATTCGATTCATTTTGCGAAGCAATGGCGGTTCTTCTTCTTCATCATCAAATAGATCATGGACAACAAATCGATCATCATTCGATGATGGTAGTGCTGTTGACGGTGATGCAGTTTCGCTTGCAATACGAACTATTGCGTGTTCATCAAAGTCCATATCGTCATCGATATCAACATCGACATCGTCGTCATCGGAATCAACCTCAGCTGCTGCTGCTGTGCGTGTGCCAGATGTTTCGTGTGCGTCCGTATTTCTGGCCGAAGAAGCACCACTACCAGTGGCAGCACTAGAAGTACTAGCAATCGAAGCATTTGTGATTACACTTGCCGTATCAACACCGTCAGACGCGCCGCAACCGATTAGCCAGTCCACATCTTGGTCTTCGGTTAAAAATTGAATTGAACGGTAATTGTCACCATAATTTCGTAAGGCCGCGGCATATTCACCAGCGCCATCCGTCGTAATAAAGAAAACTTTTTCCAAAATCCCGAACCGATCGAATATTGAATGCAACTTTTGGGCTACTCGGTCGTTCGTGTGATTTCCCTCGAAACTTTCGCACGCAATGAATGCTGTTTTCAATTCAAGCGTCACGGGATCGAAATAGTGAACGCTAACCGCAATAAAAGAACGATTAGAGCGAGTCCACATGTCCGACGTTGCGCTAAAATAGTCAACCGATTTGAATGTTTCGATCAGATCAGCGCGATGCTTGTTGGCAAGTGCCTGTAAATTGAAAACAGAACAAACAAAATGCACACCATTGAAATGGAAATTAATGTATCGGATTGACCCGTTCACAAATTCACAAAAGGCATACCGTGATTTTGTTTCGCCCTCTTCTGGCGGTCAGAAATGGCTTCGACTTGAACGTCGCCGACTTTCGCTGTCGACCCACACAAACTATGCAATGGAGAGAAGAAAAGCAATAGAACGATTGTTCGTCAACGATTGTTGTGTAAAAAAATTCGATTCAATTCACAGAAAAAAATGTCACAGTGAAATAATTGAGAATTCATACCGTCAATAAGTTTGGTCAAGTGGATGCTATTTGATTTTGAGATGGGGAGTCTTTCCTTAATGAGGAAGTTTAAAATTGCACACTCAATGAGTGAGCGTGACAATGGATTGGACTTGTCATTGCGTTCAAACACTTTCTCATTCTTTTCCTCCTCGGACACAGCTACAATTTGTTTGAAATGTGACGGATGCATCTAATGAAAAAATAAAATTGATCGAAACACAACAATCATTAACTATTGTCAATATTGCCGGGCAATATTATTCCATCGACACGGAAACTTACCTTGCTCAAATGAGACTTCAAATTCGAATTATTGCCCTTGTGGAAAAACTTAAACGGTGAATCGTCATCGCATAGTTTACACTTGGCTTTCAATCGAGTGTCATCGCCAGGATTCACACGACGGAATTCCTTGTAACACGCCAACATGTGTGCGGTTAGTTCGCTTTTGTTTCGCCATGATGAAATGATTGTATCTAAGCGTCGAAGGTGAACACACAAAACGAATGAAAAAACACACATTGAATTTTGATTCACTCCATTGCCACTTACCTAATGCTATTCCTTCATCTTGATCTACTTCCAATCCAAGCACTTCTTGCGATGGGACAGTGTTACTTATTTCCCAAACATTATCCATTCGTTGCCTTTTGCAAGGCGGCTCATCACCATCGCGAGCCATTGCCAAATTATTGAAATTACACACCGTGCACACAGCAAACCAAGCAAACACGCGCACGGACCAAAAACGATTGCCGAAAAAAACTGCGCAGTTTGTGTTTGACTTTTGCCGTTTGTATATAGTTCACACTACTGTGTGCTGTGTGTGCGCTTGCGTGCGATATACATTATACGTGCGTATACGTAGAAAACAACGAAAAAACGACAAACGGCTGCCATCTATCGAAAATTTCGCTCGAAATATCCCATTTGCAAATCTCCCAAGCAAATGATTTGCTTTGATTGAATTCAAAACAATAAAACTAACACGAAAAAAATTCATTTGATTCTCGTACCATATAACTGTTTGAAATAAAAATACAAAACAAACAATTGGCAAATAATTTAACCGATAAATTGAAGAAACCACCTTGAAACGATCAATTTCCCGTGTTTTGTCTTTATTTCGAGTGTATATTGTACAAAAAAAAATTCCTGCGCTTTTTCTCCCACCGACTAGATGCGCGAAAAAAAAGCGTTATTAAGATTGTATCTTAATAATATGTTATTAATTGAGTTAATAAATCCATCTTAATAATATGTTATTATTATAGTTAATAAAATGTTATTACCGCCGAATCTTAGGATTTATTAAGATAACACCCGATATAACGCATAACATATTATGTTATTATTATGCTGAATCTTAATACGTAGGTTGCTGCTTAAGTTTCTGGCCTAACCTAGTTCTAGTGTTTTCCGAAGCAAAACTTTGGGTCAGTCAAAAAGTTTGACCTTTTTTAAGCTAAGTTTCCTCAGACGTCAACTGTTGATTCACTACGGATCGTGGTGTTTTATGAGCTTGAATATTTCAATTTGATGAAAAAATTGAATTTTTCCGCAAACATTTTAGTGCAATGATTTTTTCCGATTTTTGAGAGGGACTAACTCAACAAGAGTGCCGTGATAGCCTCAAATTCGCTTTGGGTGATAAAACTCGGTCCATTCCAAGTATTTAGAGGTGATATAACGATTTTAAATGTTGACGAAGCTCACTCAAAAATGAGTCCGCAGGAAAGTCGTAAAATATCAGCTGTAACGCCGGAACACATTGATGCTGTGCGAAACCTAAAGGTGGAATATTCTCATACGACTTATAGTGAGATTGGGGCATCCTTTGGCATTAGTATGACATGCATGAGGTCAATATTACATGTGGTTTTAGTGACGTAAATGCCTTTCACATGTCAAAACCTCCAAATATGTTTTCAACCAAAAAAAAGAGTTTTGGACAAAAATAGGCCTACAAACTCTCAATAATGCAATTTTGATAGGCTGAAAAACCCTCAATCGTCACTAGAGATTACAAAATTATCATTTATGAGTATAGCATGTCATCCCATAAGGTTTTAGTGATAGTATCATGTTTGAAAATAACAGAAAATTTTCCTTATTTCTGAAAAAACAGACGATTTTCGCAAATTGCAATGCTTCGTTCTGGGAAAAAATGATTTACATGACTGTTATTATACTTTGGAATTGTAGTGCCATGAATTCTGAATAAAGCGGACATTTTTGGAATGAAAATATTCAGAAAATGGGCCAAAAACTGGGAACTATCTGTCACTTCATGAATTTTCACCTTTTGACATGCCTTCATTCAATCGAATATTTGCAGGCCCAAAATATAAAATAATGGTTTCGTTAGCCAGAAATTATTAAATTGAGGATAAACGAAGTTTTTTAGGTGGTTAACAACAGAATAATCAATTTTTCCCAGTAGTATATGTTATGTTATTACTGAGCCACTTTTGACGCAACCATAGCCGCAACACTAGCCGCAACACTAGCCGCAACACTAGCCGCCGCCGCCGCAGCGATGCGCAGCGACGGTTATATCACGTTGTATGAATACGTGAATATAGTTTGCCATACCTACATACCTCTGGTATTTTTTTCCATACCTACATACCTCTGGTTTTTTGAATTCCCTCCTGTGTGATAAATTTTGATTGAATAGTCATTAAAAACGGAAAGTTCAAGTTTCGCTATTTGAATAAAAGCACTACCATTTTTTTCACGTGCCGAAGCGCGACTTTTTTATTTAAATTGAATATATTGTGAAGTAAAAAAAATGGAAAGAGAGAAAAAAGGTTGTGAAATTGTTTTTCATAAATTAGTTATATGTAATGATTATTCGTTTTGATTTTTAAATTGTCATCAATGAATGAGGAAATTTTCAAAAAATCTATTTTGCAATGTTTTTAAAGTTTCGAAACGATTGTGTCAAGCATGAAAAAAGTTAAGAAATTAATAATTTTAATTAATATGGTTATAAAATGATTATTTTGCTTTTGGATTTTTAATATTCTTATCAAATGCAATATTACGAAAAATAAAGTTTTTTAATGTTTTTTAAAGCGCCATTGCATATTGGGCATAAGAGCACTGCCGAAGCACACTTTACACACGCGGCGACATGGCCGCATGGTAGAAATGCGCAATCGTATTCACATTCATAGCAAATTCTGCATGTTTTTTTGCTCTCATCGTTTTTATTTTCTAAATTTAGCGTCTTTTCAGCCGCATCATTCGTCGTTGTTGTTACAGCATTTGGTGATGGTTCGCTCACTGAAAGATTGCCCGTCGCTGACCTTAATGCTTCCGAAAGCTGCGAACCATTCGGTAGATCGTCTTCAGTCAATAAAAGACCAAAATCCTTTATTAAAGATTTCGTCATTACTTCGTCGTGGTAGCGTTCTCCTTTCATAAGCCGAAGATATTCACATCTTCCATAATATATTCCGTGTTGCTCCCACGGATCATCCTCGTCCTCCCAAGCATGTATGCCACCACCACAGCTGAAGCAAATAACGCGATCACTTAATTTAATGTAAAAAAATCCAGCTTCAGCCAATTGTTTAGGTTTTTGTTTTAGCTGTTTTGGCCAGTCATAAAAAGTCAAGAAGCGTGATGGTTCACTAGACAGCAGCGGATATGCGGCGTTTCCCCGAATTGAACCGACGTTGTCTTCCATATCTAGTGACGCTTCTCACTTATTCAATGTTCAATATCGTTCAAATGAAATCAATTAAGATATTTTTTTTTTAATTCGCTGATGTCACCAAATTGAAACAGTTTTCAAAGTTTATTTTCACAAAATTCTATGCTCAATATCGTTCAAATGAAACCGTACGTTGGTTCACATTGCTTTAAGGACCATTTTTTTTATAGGCAATGTTTTTTCTTTATTTTTGTCTTTGGCGCTATTTGTCGGTGTAGTACGATTGGTGAGTTATAAACAAAAATGTACACGAAAACGAAAATTTGACAAAATAAATTATTTGGATTCTTAAGTAGACAAAATTGTTGACACTTTTAGATTTGATTGTTTTCTGATTTATGTCAATAGTATTTCCTGAATAAACCACCAGGAATCTTGGATGATCAATATTTTTTTTGTTATCTATGGTCAAAGTCAACCAAGTACCAGTACTCCCAGTCCTGGGAAAAATTCATGCAGTTGAGGGTTAATATAAAAGCATATTATTTCAATGAATCTAATATATAAAGCAAATCTAAACTACCAAAATATATAACCACAAACTGAAAACATGATCTATCTTTTCATTTTAGAATGTGTTAAAATAGTCAAATAAGTTACAAAATTTCATTTATTTCAACAGTTGGGTTCATTCATTTTGATTTTTGTATGAATTAATTCCATAATGCCCCAAAGCGAGAGTATTGTATTTGTTTGGAATGATAAACCTCTTCTTGTCATTCGGGTCCAACACCTTTTTCTCATTTTTTACCGTATAAACACGATGATGATACGATTTTATGATAATTTGTTCCTTTTCCACCACGCAAAGTTCATCGATGCAGCGCTTATAGTCATCAAATGAAATTTTTTTATTGAGTACATTTTTCTTAACACCCTTTCCTTTCTTAACGATTTTATTCCCATTCAATTTGATAGTATATAATTTTGAACGTACACAAACGGACTCTTTAATGATTTCACCATCATATTCGTCCTTCATTACCCCCAGAACTTTTTTATTAAACGGTTGAATGCCATACGGATTATTTTCTGCAAAACCACTTGTGTCAAATCTATCTTTGTGCTCTCGAATAAAATCGTAAATATTTTCACACTGAAAACTGTAGAGAAAACTGTCAGTGTCACTATATTGCAATTTACACTGATTGCAATTAAAATATTGTAGTATGAAATCATAGTGAAATTCATACATTTTATATTTTGAAATGTCTAATATCGCAGCACCCACAGCCACAGGTTTGTTCATATAGATATTCAATCGTTGTAATTCACACGCAGCGAAATTTTCATTAAAGACAACGCTTCGTTTAAAGTTTGGTCTTGCAATAAATGTTTGCATACCAAATCGTCCATCCCATTTATTCACTAATTTTATATCTACACGTTTGCGAATATTTTCCATGGTTTTACCATATACTGCATTGTTAATCAATTTATAAAGATCTTTTTCGAACTTAGACGTGCTTTTTGCACGCTCATTTGTATTCAACATTATATAATCATTCAACCACGGTGATTGTTTAAACTCCAAAATGCGGTGCACTTTTTTTAATTTAAGTCCATGTTTTAGGGCCATTTTTAACATCCTATAGTGAATGATGTAATTTTTCTTATCGTATAGTGTAAGAACAAGTCTTTTCTCCGACGAATCGCCTACCTCCATATGCTCGCAACAAAAAGGATAATCATTATGTAAGTCATGTAAATATTGTGGGTATTCTAAATCAACTTCTAGAATGAAACCAACTGGTGCATCATCTGCCATTTGCATAACTTTGGTTTGGATATCATCAACGCTAGAATATGTGTCCATATTCCATTTAAATTGTGACAATGGAAGCGCCTGACTCATAGCCCATCCATATAAATTATTTACATCCAAATACAATAAGTAATTTGTTGGTTTTTCGGGATCATAATCTGCTCCAATATATTTGTTGTTAGCTTCACAATAG